TACATCATGATTAAGTACATAGATTTGCTATAAGAGTTATTTCACAATTTCAAGATCATTTAATCCACTGATTGATGTGTATCAATTTAGAAACTAAAATATCAAGACTTCATATTCATTTAATCCGAAGGCATATTTAAATAGAAAAACCCTAATTATTTTTTCAATTTATTACATGATAAGTAGTTGAGGTGGTAGGTATTTTCATTAACATCATTTCATCTAAAATTGAAGACTTATTACGATAAATGACATAGCCTCCTCTCACAATACCAAATTGAATGGTTTTAATTCTCATGGGCAACACCTTAACCATGAGTATCAATGAGGAAGGGGAACTTGGATCGTTGACAACCTGAATGTCATATGGAGTATAAATCCCATTTCTAAGTGTTTGACGCAACACACTTATTCTCTCACAACCTTTATTGAAGATTGAAGTTAACTTTGTTATCTCGTCTGGTTTGAGTAACTCAATTAGGGCGGTCATCAAGTAGTAGAATTGCCTTAACTTTATCAACTGGTTGTTGTCGTACAAAACATAACATTTATTAAGCCCTGAAGTTGATTCCTTGTGACCATTTTAGTGGGTGTTTGTAGTTGTGTCACCATCAGGAAAACAGAGGAAGAACGTTTTTGATGGGGACATCATAATTAATACAAGCCACACTACATAGGGGACATAAATTTGCTTTGTTTTTTTTTTTCAAAGTAAGTTAGATCTAGGGGTTAAAGAAGGAACTCGTCGAGTTCTTAAGCTCCGGATTGTTTCTGGTTGAGCCTTCTTTTGGGACATCCTCGCCATTCTTGCAGGAGAAAGTATAGGATAATAATGACAATAACTAATTGTTATTAAGGATTGAAAATTTTTGAGAAAGAAAAATATATTTATAGGCATTTGGAATAGAATTAGTAACTCAGATGAATATGAGTTTCACTTTTGGATTTGTCATTTTTATTTTTTACTAAAAAATGCATTACTAGTCAAAATATACAAAAAATCATATTTTTCGTCACGAAAATGATATCAAAAATAAGAAAGAAAAAAAATTCTAAAAACAATGAATTTAACTTGCATAACTTAAATTACAATAAATTTCAGAAATCTAAAAAGATGTGGAAATTAAGTTAAAGAAAAAAAATTCTTATAGGACATCCTCCCCATTCCTGCAAAAGAGAATATATGACAATAATGATAATAGCTAATTGTTAATAAAGATTAAAAATTTCTGAGAATAAAAGATTCATTTATAAGCCTTTGAAATGCAATTAATAATTTAAATAAATATAAGTTTCACTTTTGAATTTGTCATTTTCATTTCTTACTTAAAAAATACATTACTAGTAAAAAATACACCAAAAAAAAAATCATATTTTTATCACAAAAATGACATCAAAAATAAAAAAGAAAAAAAATTCATAACTTGCATATCATACAAGATTGACGAAAAGCTTATCGAATTTTCTTTCCATTTTAAGCTATCCAATGTATATATGGTCCTCAACTTTTAGGCCATGTCTAAAAGAACAAATTATTATTATGAAATTCATTTGTAAATCTATAAATAGTTCAAACAAACATATGAAAATTCTTTAATAAATCAAAATTTATCATTTTCTTGAGATACTAACATATTATAAATTGAGTTACTTTGGTAAATCAAAATTATAGACCTCATACAACACTTACCCATTTTTATCAGTTAAAAAGCATCACTTTGTTAACAATGGCTACATATGTTGGCTTGTTATGTACACATTATAAACAACAAAGTTCTGTTTTCACCCATATAAATTAATGTCAATCTCGTATTTTAGTTACGTCAAAATATTCGGTACATTTCCATTTATGCTGGTAATTTAACGAAAGTAGACAATAACTTCAAAAAATTTGCACTCAAAATAAAAAAAAAATGATCACCGCATCATATTTAGTGTCGTAAAAAATAATACTTTCGAACTTGTTTATATGAATTAAGGCATTTTGGAACGAATCATCCTTAAAAAAAAAAAGTTAAATATCTTAGAGCATATCAGCATTCAAAAAGTTGAGCAATCATAAAACAAATCACCATTCAAATGTTTTATTTTTAAAATAAATAATATATGTTAGCACTGAGTATGAAACAAATTATTAAATTATTTTAAGAAATCTGATGTTTAGTTTCTAATATT